CGTCGTCGCCGTTGTCGCCCCTGGTGTTATTCTTCTTCTCTGTCTCAGTGTCCACTTCTACTCCGCCGCTAATCCCCGTATACTCATCACTCGATACTAATAACATCTCCTTGTGCTCCTCTTGTAGTGCTCCACACTCTTGATGGTGATCATACCCAAAATTTCCATAATAATAATCTACAAAATAGAAACAAGTTTGTTTTAGCAAACATACATGCACAAAAATGATACTCATCCATCTTCATAACAATATACTCCCTCCATTTCACGATAACTGTCTATTAAAGATTTTGAATGAATGTATACTTAAGTATGTCCACATTCATTTCAATCCTAATATATCTCATAATCTTGATCCATATTTATTATGAAATGGAGGCAGGAAGTATATTTGTGTAGAAATTAATTAAAAATGTTACTTTGGCCCACTACTCATCCAACAAATGAACTATTAACATTCTCTACTGCAATAATCCACAACTATTCCATCCATCCCAAAAAAAAAAGCATTTCCCATTTGTAAAAAAGAAAGAACACTTTAAAAGTATGAATTTTTGGTGTTATTTTCCTATTCTACATATCTTATATACCATATTATAAAGGGAAAAATTAAAAAAATAACATCAAAATTACACATTTTTAATTGAAGCCCGTCTCTTTACGAACAGTAGCGGATTCTTGGAAGTGACAAGTAAAAAGAATGTATAGAGACGACTTATGGAGAGGTATATACATATGTAAGTAGTGTACCTTGGGTGATGATTTGGGTAGGATTGATAATACCACAGGGAGAAGTAATAGGATCGTTGAAGAGAAGCATATCCATGGGGGGAAAACACTGCTGAAAATCATAATAACTACTCTCATCTTCGTAATGATAGTAATAATTATTATAATCCCAGCCAATATTATTGTTGGTCTCTGCCGCCGTCCATCTTATTCCGCCGTCGTCCTCCATTAGCGGGGAGGGAAGGGTGAAGGAAAGCGGCAGCGGCGGCATATTATTATTGTTAATATTATTAACAATAATCTCTTCTTCTGGTTTTGCCATTCCCTAGCAAACCAAAAGAATTGATTTAATTTATATATATATCAAGAAGTGATTATAGTGTGGAGTTGAAATAATGCAATTCCTGCAACAAAGGGGAGGATGTAGTATAGATATATACACTCCGTAGATGGGAATGGAGTTCGTATATTAATTAAGGTAATTATGGAATTTAGTGCATTCGAAGTGGTGGGGCCTACTTATTATTAATAATGATAGTATTGGATTAATAATCTTAATCCATGCATGCATGTTTTTTTATGTGTACATTTTTGAATATGTACTCACGCTTTTGTCCCAGAGTTGATTGCAATTTTAAAGTTAAGACTAAATTTCTTGTTTTTGAAAGTTATTTTATTTGCAAATTGTTATTGAAATAAAACAAATTCGACTTGCATATTTTGTAAAAATACATCACAAGCTCTACACAATACGAGACGCCAACAATATTTTAATTATTTTATTAAATAATCAATGAAAATATAAAAATAGAATAAAGTTATTGAGAGGTTAAAGTTGGGCATTTTTGAGAATTTGTCACTTTTTTGTCCCTCCGTTCCTAAATGTTCTTCTCAATTTTCTCTATGCATGGTCCGTCTAAAAATATATAGTCTTCGCATTTCCTTTGATAGTTTACTTTTAAAAGTAAATACAAATAATACTCTCCACTTTGCGACACATCTACTTTTTATTATTTTATGAAAAAAAAAGAACTCTAAATATTTAAAATAATGATATGTGTTTTTAGAAGTTTGATATTTTTTTCATTCGTAAATTGTCGTGATAAGTACTACGGGAAGAATATTTTTGAATTGAGGGAGTAATTGATTAGTAAATAGTGTAGTCATAAATGTTATCATCAAAAGAGCAACAAATGGTGTAGTTAAAGCATCCGAGTGGAGAGAGGAGTTACATTTGGAAATACGTACTTAAGCTTAGATTTGCAGAGGACAATTCAGTACGGAGTAATTCATAGGCTGGTTAGTGGGTACAGTAGTTTTATCCTATCATCTAACGTTTCTTACCCTTTTTTAAGCGAAAAGGAAGAGGTTCCAAAATTGATCTTTTCATTTTGTTTTTAAATTTTAACTTCCATATATAAAAAAGAATATGCTCTACTCATCCCAAATTTATTTACAAATTGAGATTTATGAGATAAAATCTCATATCTTTTGAAATTATTTCATTCACAAATTATTACATCAATAAAAAATAAAAATTACATATTAAAAAATATGTCAAAAGTTCTACAAACAAAAATTAAAACACAGAAATAAACAAAAAATATCCAGAGGTGAGAAAAAAATTGTACTCCATCCGTCCCACAAAGCATTTCCCGTTCCTTTTTTCAACCGTCCCAAAAGACTTTTCTTACTCCGTATTTCTATTAAAAAGTCACTTTTACCCCTACTAATTCTTAACTTACATATCGCATCACACTTTTTTTTACTACTAATCTACCGATATCATCTACTTTTACCTATCACATCCAAGGATATATATTTTTGAAAAGTCAATACTAAAATACATTCATCTTAAATCACTCAAAAAACAAAACAACAAATATTTTGTGGAAGTCTTAAAACCCTCAAAAAACAAAACAAGAAATATTTTGTGGAACAGAGGGAGTAATAGAAATTGGGACGGAGAGAGTATTGCATTTCAATCGTTTCTTTATGAAACATAGTTTTGAAATATTAAACTTTCATGAAATATATTTCCTCTGTCCAACAATAAACTTTTCATTTTAAACAACATGCAAAATCTTATCTAATTTAAAATTACTTTATTTACAAAATGGTATATCATAAAAAAGTACAAATTACATTGTTGAAAGCTACAAGAAAAGTTCTACAAAACAAGATGTGGCAAGAATATTTTAATTTATCTTATTAAATGATTGATAAATTGTACAAACAAACATAAGTTATCGAGTGTCCGTGATGGTAACTTGAAAGTTTATTGTTAGATGGAGGAGTATCTATGTATAAAGAGAAAATTACTCCAGGGTACCTTCGATTTTCTGGTAATGACTCCCAAGTCTCACATTATTTGAAATATACTCTGAGGTACCCTCAATTTTTGAGTAAAAATTCTGAGGTCCAACATTATTTGAAATATATTACGAGTGTCCTTAAGATAAGTGATAATATAGATCATTGGGTATATTTCATCTATTTTACCGTTAGAGTTAAAAATTTTAGTATTTTGGCAAATACTAAATTTTACATTCATAACAAATATGCTATTAAATTTAAATAAAATCCTTCAGTTTCTAAAAGTAAAGAAACTTCCAATCCTAATGTATAAATGGATATGTACCCTTGAAGTATAATATCACAAATTTTAAGGACCCCTAGAGTATATTTCAAATTATGTGAGACCTGAGAGTTCTTACCAGAAAATCGAGGGTACCCCGAAGTATATTTCAGATAATGTGGGATGTGAGAGTCATTACCTAAAAATCAAGGGTATCCTAGAGTAATTTTTCTGTATGTATAAATGTAGATTCTAATAGTCAAAATATTATATTGGAGACTGTATACAGTCTCATGGGAAGATCATTTCTAAATTCAAAGGAGGGAGTACTAAGGTTTTGTTTTCTTGAACTTCTAACTCTTAACTTTCAACATTTTTCAACTCTTTTGAGTTTCTTTCATTATTTATCTGTTTCTTCCAATTCTTTTCCGTTTTCCAACTCCTTTCAGTTTCTTCCCGTCACTCGGAATGCTAGACATACAAGTGTTATCTATGTCGATTTGAACTGTAGCTGTGGAACAAGAGTTCAGTTCTAGCGGCAACATTCTATCCGACTATCGAAATTGTCTTAACGTTGAATCACATGAGACAGTTGTTTGCAACCGAGATTGGCTCTTTGCAAGGCGGTGAGTACAAGAGGCTGGTTACGACATTGATACACAAAATTACATGGATCCACCCACGAAAGGAAGTGGTAGTTCTGAGGAATAACTTTGTATCATTTTCAAATTGTAATTAGTTTTTTAGGTGAGTGATTAATAAGCTTCTTCGAGGGTTTCTTTACGATTCTCTACCTCACTACTTTTTTGAACCGTCGGGATATTAAATGTAGTCGTAAAATTCAACTTTTATTATTTAAATAACAACTACATTCTTAGAGTTTATAAAATATAAAAAGTTATAAATTTCTTTTACGTTAGATATAATATTATATTATTCGTATATTAGATTAAAAAAGGAACCGAGAACTATCCTGGAACAAGAACCATAAGTGTCGGTTCTAGAACCGGCTTTGCTAGCTATAGTTACGGTGCCTCTGAGGGGCCGTGCCAGAGCCGGACCGGAATTAGCCCGTGTACACCCATGTTTGGAGGTAAGGGATAAAAGCTAATATATTAGATCCCTTCCCTTTCATTTTTTAAACCAAACAAGAGGAGAGACTCATTTTCCCTGGCCTCCACCCTCCATCCAAACAGAACACCGTATGTTTGTGTTTATTTTCCATTGTGTTTGAAGTAGAAAGAAGTCTCCTAATCTCCGCCAACACTAAACGCAAGAAGCTACTCATAATTTAACCATAAAATGTGGCATTTTAGAGAAATTTTCATTCTCTCTCCGTCCTAATTTTGATTACAAATTTATTTTCTCTCTCCTCTCGATACCTTATATTTATTTGCGTGTTTTCATTGATAAAATAAAAGTCACTCGCTTTACAAAAAGTCCACATGGTGAAAAGCGCCTCAACCGGATTTGAACCACTACAAATGGTCTAACACTCTTGTCAAACAGGCCCATATAAAACACTTTAAAAAGGGGAGACCACGAAAACCAAAATTAAAAGTGCCATAAGCCAGGGTTATGGAAAGGCATCCGTAATATGGATTATGGAGGGGGAAAATCCAGAAGTAGAAGAGAATGTCAAAAACTTGTAATTCTGGATTTTGGCCAAACATACACCACACCTAAAATCTTGAACTACAAACAAGTTTTATCAGACAATGGATAAAACAAACAAAATTTGTCTGCATAGTTCAAAACTTAGAGCGGTGTGAGTGATGTAAATAATGGTGTACATCTAGCATTTCCCAGCCAAAGGCAAAAAGATATATCTTCCAAAACATATGCTAGAGATAGTAAATTTAGGGGTCACTTCATCCAACAAAACAAGGGAAAATCAATCAGTTTCTTCCCTTTCCACTGCCACGGCCTCGGCCTCGGCCACCACCTCCTCCTCCACCACCACCACCACCACCTCTTGCTCTCTTGCCGCCACCACCCAAGGCCTTATTGGCATTGTGCTTTACTTGCATGTTTTCAGGCAATGGAAGGATACGGTCGACACACTTCCTGAAGCTAAAGTCTTCTGCAGAACCGTCCACCCTTACAATGAAGAAGCATCTGGTTTTAAATACATCATGGTTTCGAACTTGAAACGCATGAACTCCTTCGCCTATTTTCGTCTCAGGCTCCGCATGGCCCTTCTTAAGCAGTTCAAGCAACAACATATGTTCGTACTGCAATTATCACAACCAGAAGTCAAACTTCATAGTTCATAGTTCACACATCATTTATCAAATTAGTCTTTAACTTATGATGCAATATGAACCCCCACAGCACATTGAAAACTTCAAAAAACAAGATGAAATACATGCCAAACAAATCTTACCATATCAAATAAGACAATTAGGGAATCAAAATCTTAAACATCAGTGATTGTTCATAACTATCAATTATCACCAAATCTTTACTATATAAGGCCTTTAATAGAACCTAAAGCAATGGTTGTATTGAAGGACTTGGAAAGGAGTAAAGGGAAAATTTTAAAAGTTCAACTTTGAAAAGTACAAGTGTGTTTAATGGTTTTTCATAGAACATATTCAAATCACAAAGAAACCATAGTTTTTTGTTGTTAACTTGAGAATAGCAAATACTAAATGCAGCTTCTACAAAGGAAACAAAGTTGACAGATACATCAACTGTTCCATTGCATTTGGTACGCACCAATGGAATATAATACAGTCATATTCATATGTGATGTAAATTTACTCTAAAATTACATCTAAAAATTTCTGCCCCAATGCCAACTTTCTCTTCAGAAAGAGTCACCATGCTTACGGGTTACCGGTTACGATTATACAAAATGTTGCACTCAACTCAAGTATGCAGATTAGGTCTTTTGTAAATTCATATAATGACATGGTTCAAATTTTGTTTAGTCCCAAGCATGAAAAGTAGCACCGAAGCAATCAATAAGACAGGTAATCAATGTTGTCAAACAATTATGCAGTCCTCACTCTACAATACAAAAACAAATACACGAAATCCAGTATATGCCACTCCATAGTAGAATTGTTCCAATGATTACCAAACAATTACGCAGCAAAAAATTATTTAAACTAAACTGCAACATAGAAACTCCTGCAATCAGCTAAATCTTTAAAAAGATTACTAACTTTCAATACGATGCCCAAAGAAATTTGAACTATAAATGTAAAAAGACTTAATTTTTCTTTTCTTTTTTTTTTTTTGAAATTTGACCTATCTACTGATAGTAACACGATTATACGAGTTAATCAAGAAAATACCGCATTAGTAGTTCTCAATTCTACTCTGTGATTGTGTGATTGATAATGAATTTATAAAGCCTGACGCATTACTACCTTGTTGATGTCGAAATTAGGAGTCCAGTAATGAAGCAGCTTATAGAAGTAATCAAACATCTCTACGGACGACCCAAAGCTTTTCGGACCCAAAGTAACCCGACCCGACCCGTCCAAAGCTTTTATCTCTCCCTCCCCAACTTTAATTCCTTCGGAGTTTTCCGGCAATTTCCCTTGGACGGCCTTATCGACCCTCGCCTTCTTCGAGGCGTCACCATTCTCGCCGCAATCCGGATCACCAGCCTCGTCCCTCAGCCGCTTCGAACCGCCATCCTTAATCCCAGCGTCCGCATTGACGTTCGATTCGATATCCATGTCCTGGATTGGTATTTCCGGCTCCTCTTGGCGGAGGTTTTGGGCACTTGCAGGTTCCGAGGAGGTAGACCGTGTAGCGGCGGAAGTTTTGAAGAGTGAAAACCCTTAATTTATACTCTGGAAATATTTTCTCATTTGACTTTTCTTAGTGAAAGTTTGTAAATTTTAACTATGATATGTGAGAAAAATGCATTGTATTACGATATAATTTTAATATGAATATGTTCAATTTGAAATATAGTTTTCAAATATAAATTTTTTATTAAATATATCTATGTATAAATAAAGATATTAGTGGTCAAAGTGCAATCTTAGAGACCATAAAATCAAAGGAGAAAAACATTTTCGGACGGAGGGAGTACATAATTCTCGGAGGCCTTTTAAAAAGCCTCTTTAGAATAAGAAAAATGCTAGGGGTACTGGTGTATCCTATTTGTCCCTCACCCCCTCCTTGTTCACGTAATTGGGTAAAATAATAAAAAATAAATAAATAAAATTAATTAAAAATGAGTGGTGGAGAAGGAGATGGTGTACAAATAGGGTATACTTTTGGTATACCCTTAACAATGCTCTTAAAATAAATTTGAAATAAATAATACTAAATCATAACTATCCTTTTTCGTCGTCCACAAAAAAACTTTGGAAAAGTCTATGTGTACACCGGATGTACACCATATAAAGGACCCACCCTTATACCCCTCCATCCCCCAACTCCCCTCTCTTTCTCTCTCTTCCTTTCTTTTTTCCCTATTAACCCACAACGTAATCGTACCTTCAATCAGAACTTCGCCGACCTTCACTCATTCCAATTTCGATCTGAACTTTGCGCCATGGACGAAGCTTCGACGCCCAATTTTCCGATCATACCTTTGCTCCGTGGCCTGACCTTCGCCGCCCAAATTCCAATCAGAACTTCACCACGTATAAATAGAGAAAAATTTCAAGTTATTGTCACTATCAATGACCCCAATATATGAATTCTTAATTTTTCTTGTTTGATTATGAACCATAACTTCGTAATTTCCATTTTTTGTTGTAATTGTTTTAAATGTATGTGAAATGCTAGTTACAGACGTAAAATGTCTTTTTTAGATGTGAATTGCTACCCTGTTCAAAAAATTGGTCTAAATGTATGTGAGGTGGTAGTCACAAGCGTGAAATCTCTATTTAACAATTGAAGTGTTGCCCTAATATAAAAATAGCTCCAAAAGCATGTGAAGTATTAGATACAAGCGTAAAATGTCTGTGAGTGCCTAAACACATACACCAAATCTCTATTACCAGAGACATTAATTCTTTGTCAATTCCTAATTACAGCTGCATAGTGTCTGTGAATGTTCAATTAAGTGAATTCTACGTATTGTCAACGAGTTGCTTTGGTTGTCTCTATTTTCTTCATTGACAATATCCCCCTTACTCTAAAAAGAAACAAATGGAATATGAAATGTTTGGTCATAAAAACACTGAGTGTGTATTCCATTAGACACAAATATATTACCCTTGTGTTGGGATATACACTAAACTACGTTGGGATATGGGGGTCAAGATGTAAGCAATTTTACCCTTGTGAAGAAAGCATGTTTTTGCTAGACTCGTGATGCATTGCATGCTGTAATGTAGTGATTGTGTTAATTATTTACCTCATTAATTGAATCTAAAACATTGTCAAATATGAATCTTTTAACTACATTGGCAATGACCGTGAAAGAGTTTTATTGTATCAGTTTGGTGTGACTTTGATGCACACGACACATTTATACTCTATCTTATTCGAGTGATTGCTACAAATATTCTGCCGCCTGTTTTTTCTCCAGCTTTTTTTATCAGTTTGGTGTATTCCTTTAGACACAAAAATATTAAGTGTCATTAAGTAGTGTTAAGAAGACTAATATTGCTCTTATAATATGTGAAATATGACAAACTTTGAAACCAACGTCACAGACATTTCATGTCGTAAAGGGAATGTCAAAGGCATACAGTGTCTGTGAAAGTGGATGCGAGATATATGTTAATTCTAACCAATACAAATGCAAAATACGTAGTATGTGATTACCAATACAAAGGTCTCAATCTGACATAAACACTAGAAATAAAATTTTTTATAGGTAGACGTTCGATTAGGTTACTTGCTAAGTAATAGACAATATGTGTTTATTTTTAATGATAAATAGACACTTAAATAGTATGACATAAAACTAATTTTTTAATAAAATTACTAACCTTCACTATACTTCTAGTGAAGGTTTAATGACTACACGAGTTAATGCAAAACCATTTATACACAAGTTCAGATTTAGAATGGTAAGTTCAAAAATTCCATCCTCATCTAGGACTTCCCATGCCTGCGTTGGAACTCGAACACGCTTGGAAGGCTTGTTTGACCTTTGACTTGGAACTTCTTTTTCTCCAGTGCCAACTCCAAAATGATTGGTAAAATATGTTCATCTCTAATAACATCCACATGTTAGTAAATCTGTCAAACATCAAAACATTCGTCACAACACTCAAACTCTTCAGTTCCAATTAGCACATACATTCTCTGTCTGTGTTATAGTACTGGAAATAGCATATTGTCTGTGAAAATATACACACATATAAACATCACTTAGGGTGGTGAAGTATCCAAAAAAACTCAACCAGTAACATAAAATGACTATGTCCCAAAAAATTTGCATTTTTTGAAAGATTCACAAACAGTCCTTGCTTGTCTGACAAAATCCTATACATCATAGTGTCTCTGTTAGTTAAAAAACTGAACATTAAGGCAATCAACAACTAAAACAAGGGTTTAATGTAACTTACTTGCGAAAGTAGGGGAGAATGGGGGTTCTTCATACATTATCACGCACAAACTCCTTCGATTAAGGTTTCGAGATTGACGATGAAGGCGGATATTTAAGCCATGGTCACGGAGAGCCTCCTCGGTGCAGTTTCTAGGCTAGTGAGAGAGAAAGGAGGGCCGGCGGAGAGTGGCCGTCGAGAAACGTGGATCGGCGGTGAGCAAATATGAGAGAAAAAATCAAAATTCCGAAATTAATACATGTTTATGGAAATAATCATAAACAACCGTAATTGCAATTAATACCTTTGTATTTATAGAATTCTTTCATTATTACTAAAAAAAGAGCTCTTTCAGGATTGTTTCAATAAGTATAGTAAAAGAATTAAAATTTGTGAATTTTATACCCCAAATCATGGCGAGTCATTGATGGACAATGACAGCGGTGGGTAACAATGGTGGCGGCGGGTGGGAAGACACAAAGCAGCTGCGGCGGCAGGTGGGAAGACACAAAGCAGCAGCGGCGGCAGGTGGGAAGACACAAAGCAGCAGCGGCGGCAGGTGGGAAGACATATGGCAGCGGCGAGTTATGGTGCTGAGAATTAGCGATGTCCAATGAACCAGATCTGCACAAAATTAAAAAGAAAAAAGAAAACCGAAGGAGAGAGATGGAGGGATAAGAACGGGAAATTGGATGAGAAGAAAAAAAACGGGGGAGGGAGTGGGGGTAGGGGAGAGGTGAGGGGGGTATATGGTGTGCATATGGGGTACACAAGTGGTGTACCCTAGCGGGACTGAAAAACTTTTGATTTCTATTTTAGGAAAGTTTTTACAAATGAAATGTCCATTCTATCCTTATTCTCTTCTTCCTCTCCCTTTCATCTTTCTTTCTTTTTCTTCTTTCTTCTACCGTTTTTTCTCCCTCTTCTTCAATCTTTTTCTCTTCCTTATTCGTTCTCCTTTTTTCTTCTTTTGTCATCATCTTCTTCCTTCTTCGGTCTTTTTCTTCTTTGTTCTTTCGTCTTTTTCTTCTTATTTCTTCTTCATTTTTTTCTATTTTTTCTTCTTTCTTCTTTCGTAAACTAGAAGAAGAAATTTTTTTCCAGATCTGGTTGTATCTTCGCCGGATCTAGATTTGTAGTCACAATTTTTTTATTTTTTCCAGATCTATGGTGGGATGTTGATTTTCTTCCCTAACGAGAAGTCTAAAAATAGATCTTTGAAAGCGGGGACTTGTGACGGCGAGAGATGCAGGTTGCGGCGGCGAGATGATGCCAGGGGCTGCGACGGCTGGGTCCTGCGATGGCGGGGCTTTCGACGGCGGGGGATGCAGAAACATCATCGGCGGTGGTGCAGAAGTGTCGGCGTTGGCCGTGGTAGAAGGTGTCACCAGTGGGGGTGTACATGGTAGAAAAGATGAGGGGCATAATGGGAAAGTCAACACAATTTCATTTCATATAAATTTGCGCACTGAGTCAAAGCGAGAAGTTTATTTTTGGACGGAGAGAGTATGTCATTTCTTAATATAGTATTTAAACTTTTTTTATTTTCTAAATAGTATTTGAATAATATCTAGTAACTATAACAACAAAAAATTGCTGGTGAGTATCCCTAATTTTGTAATAAGAACTCTCAGGTCTCATTGTTTTTCAAAATATACTCCGAGGTAACTTAAGATATTCGAAAATTTACTCCGGGGTGACAATCCGTCACTCTCTCCGTTAGCATCCCTTCTTCCCTTATCTTCTTTTTCTTCTCCTCCCCCTCTTCTTCTTCTTCTTCTTCTTCTTCTTCTTCTTCTTCTTCTTCTTCTTTTCTTCTTTTTTCTTTTCTTCTTCTTTCTCTTTCGCCTTCCAGTCCATTCTTCCATCCACCCCCGTTTTTCTTCTTCTTTTACTTTTTGTTTTGTTTCTTATTCTTCTTCTATTATAATTATTATTTGTTATTAATTATTATAATTACTTCATATTAATTATTATTTTCTTATTCTATTATTATTATTATTATTATTAATTTTTTAATTTATTATTATTACTATTATTATTAAAAATTAATTGTTAGTTTTACCACTCTTTTCTATAAAAACACTAATTGTTATTTAGAAAAATAGCACTTATTATTAATACTGTTATTTATTTTAAACAATTAATTAGTGATTTTACTTCTATACTTTTTTATAAAAATACCACTAGTTATTATTATTACTTCATATTTTATTCATCTTATTCTTTTCTCAAGTTCTCTTGTTTTCTCGATTTACCGTGACACCACTATCAATGACGACTACCAATGACTAATGCGTGGCTAATGCGAAAGACATTGGATTCCGAAAAATTATAGTAGTAAAACTACTAAAAAAAATTTACAATGATAATAATAAGTTTTATTTTAAATAATTAATACTATTTTTCTAAATA